CTAGTATTAATTATTCAATTAATCAATCAAATAATAATTATTGCTACTATTATCAAATCTTCAGCCAATTTTATATCCTGAAATATACACGAATTGATTGATGTTATCAAATTCCTATGTTTCTTTCATTTGTTTTGCTTATTTGTATTCTTTGATAGCCTCATATTTCATTCATTTTATTTTCGTTTTTTTTTCAAATTAGTTGTTCATCAACGAATTAAACAATAACACTAAATAATATAACAATGGAAGGAGAAAAAAAAATGACGGAAATGAGTAACGGAAATGAAAATGTAAATGTCCGATAAAATTTATTTTTGGAATATTTGATGATATAAGCAAAATGAAAAACTCTTTCATTTATTGAAATTTTTGTCCCCATCCATTCTTCCTTGTTTCCCCTGCCCCACCGCTATACTCATATCGTCGTTTTAACTATGAACACATGTTATGCGATATAATGAATGAATTAAAAAAAGTAAAAGAAAATAAATAAAGTACAAAATTTATTAATTTTTTGATTCCTAACATTAAAAATAATTGAAAATGGCAAATAAAAATTGAAAAGGTGATAAATTTTCTGCAAAAATGCAAATCAAAGCTTTGCATATCATATTTAAATAATATTTGTTGTTGTTATTGCTGTTGTTGTTTGTTGTTGCCGTTGTTGTTGTTGTTGTTGTTGCTGTTGTTGTTGCTGTTGTTGTTGTTGTTGTTGTTGTTGTTGTTGTTGTTGTTGTTGTTGTTGTTGTTGTTGTTGTTGTTGTTGTTGTTGTTGTTTGTTGTTGTCGTAATGCTCAATCCTATGTAATTACGAAAAAAAGGAAAACGAAAAAGTCTTTTTATTGAAATATTTTGAAAGAAAGATTCGAAAAAAAAACTTGATAAAAATTCTGTTTCCAAAAATAATATCTTTCGATATGTTTTATTCGTTTTTATGTATATACATTTTTCGATACATTTTATTATTGTTGTTATTACATTTTTTTTTAGTTACTACCCATTACTAATAGTATCGCTACACAAAAATAATTACATATCACTACTATTTCTATTTGAGTAAAGTTTATTAAAAGAAATATGTGTCTACAGAGATATTGTCTAATCCAAATAAAAAAGTGATGAAAACGAAATTTTGTTTTAAAGGAATGCAAGATACTGTAGATATGATGGTGATGTAGATGTCGGGAAGATAAAAAATTTGTCCTAATTTCTAAACTTTTCTAAAAATGTCACAGCAATGGTAGTAATAATGATGTTGATGACAACAATAATGACAACAGTAACAAAAGATGATGTCCGATGATGATGATGATAACAATAACAATAATAATAACAATAATAGTAATAATAATATATTAATATTAACAATATAATATTACTATTGTTACTATTATAATTCTATTTATTTATTTATTTATTATTATTATTATCGTTATTATTATTATTATTATT